GCCAATTAAACAATTTCACTCTGAATGCTAAAAAAGATTAAAGTTAATGTTAATTTTTCAATGTTCCTTCAATTTTGAATACCGATCTGTGCTAACAATGAGTATTTGAAAATGTTCTATTATTCTAATGCTGAGTGTTGCACAAGTGATTCCTGCTATGGAGACCCTTTTGTAAGCTTGAAGTGTGGGGATTTAAGATCTGGAAAGGCTTTAGCCATTTTTCATCGTCCCTGTCTCGTATCCGTCTATGGTGTACGTCATTTTCATTCTCAAAGAAGCATTTTACTCCCTATGACGTAGAAGAAGTCAGTCCCCTTGACCGGTTGCGTTCACATTCCGCCGAAATCACGGTATCTAACAGCCGAGCCAGATTTGTGGAAGTTTAAGTTCCTTTATTTTAAGTTTATTTCAAGGATTCCTCTCGATTTTACTTATATCTATTTTCTACAAACAGAGTTAAGTAAAAGTGGGTCGGAGGTCGTGAATAAGACGTTCACTATGTTTTACCTCTTCTCTTAGACTTGCGTCATGACAAATAAAACCGTTATCAAACAGGTTTCTTGTGTGAAGACAGCCACATAAAGTTCGCCAAAGTGGGGCTGTAGACAAACCGCTTTTAATACGTAACTTTAAGCAAACATCTTTGATGCTTTTTGACTTTCTAAGAGCAGTCCTTAACGACGCGTGCGTGAGGATACTGCATGGTGTTTTAGCTCTTACGTGTTAAAGGGATAGTTGAGTTATGTTTTCAGACCGCGAATGCCTTCAAAGTGCATGGTTATTGCTCTTATTCGTATCTATGACATTTCTAGTGCCCTTTTAGGATCTAACATTGCTATGAAGGTAATTACCCCCAAATGTGTGAAATTTAGCCCAAGCGATCATACAAATCCAGCTCCATTTTCAACAAAATATGGTAACCGTTAATTAATTTATTTATAATAACAATACATGGGCCGGCTGGTTGTGCGTAATAACCAACACGAAAAATCCAACAAAAATGCCAACATCGGCTTGGGTGAAATACAACGTAAAAGGCGCTATTTCGTTTTTACAATGGCTTTTTCAAATTATCGAATATTTGTGGTGGTACACAAATATTATAAATTGTTATATTTATGGATATTCAGCAGTCTCTGAACCGATTTTGATCAAACAAAGATGATTGTGTAATTTAAATTCTATGTTATTTCAAACTTGACACTCAGTTTGTTATTATCTCACAAAAGATATTTTGTGAAGCGGCCTCTACAACAGAACTCAACTATCCCTTTAAGGAGGCATGCGCTTTAAAGGTTAGATTGGAAATCTTTCAATTACAGCTTCTTTTTGTCGGTACGATTTTACTAACGCTTAAATGCTCCTCTATCAAAGCACTCTGTAATAGAACGCTTTCTCTTCGTGGAGGAGATATTTTATATCTGGAAGTGACTATCTTTCAACCTACGTCTCTAATTGTTTTGAAGTTTTTATTTTTGTAATGAATCAGATAGGGGTATGTACAACAATTTTCACGTAACATAGATTTGAAATGATTGAAAATAAACAGAAAATAAACTGATTAGCATTCACGAAAATGTGTACAATAGTTTTTTGATTAAGGTGAAGTAATATTGAAGTTTAATATGCAATTAATGAGATGCTATTCAAGTTATTTTTTATTGCCTACTGCGAATAAATAAATGCATGGAAAAGCCTTTTTGTGCTCTTCCGGTCTAATGTGACGGAGATTGTATGTATGTAACATATAAAAGGCATATGTGCTTCTCCATGTTTAAACGAGAATCGAGCCAAACACACAGTTTGATGATTTTACTTCTGAGTCTCCGACTGTTATAATTTGATTAAAGGTATTACAAAGTTTTAGTATGGGGTCATGAATTTGGTTCAAATGAACATATTGGAAGCATATGTAATCCTACCATATCCAATCCTACCATATTCAATTCAGTTATCGTTGTCGCGATTGAAATCGAGTCCAAAGTTTTGAAATCGTGAATAATAAACTCTTTATGTTGTTTAGTTCCCTCTCAAGGTCAAGATATTAATTAAGCTATAAAACTATGTTTCTTGACTAAAATAGACCGATTTGCTATTCCCATTTGGAAATTATATTTCACAACTACATATTCTGAAACTTTCATGATCGCAGCTACATGTATCATTGTACGGCCGAAGGCGCTATTTAAAATTTATCAAAATTTACCGGGAGCACCGGTAAATTTTCATATTCAATTTTTCTCTAGGGCAGAAGTGTTTTAGGGGCTAAATTTTCTAGTGCTTATAATACATCCACAGGGGCATCTAAATATATCAAAATTGTAAAGAATCACTATCCACACAATTTTCAAAATTTCCCAAAACTTTGTATTACCTTTAATATTTTGCTGACCATGTCCATGTTCATTATCATGATGGTCAAAATAATGTTGATTACTATCCTCATCATCATCATCATCACCATTATGATCTATTTCATCATCATCATAATCATCTTCATTATCACCACCACCACCACCAGCATCATCGTTATAATTATCACCACCCCAACTATCATCATCATCATCACCACCACAATTTTCATCATCCCCATCCTCTTTATCATTACTATCATGTTCATCATCATCATCATCATCATCATCATCACCACCATCATCGTCATCATCATGATAAGTTTCACCACCCCGCTATCATCATCACCACCACCATCATCATCATGATAATTATTAACACCCCGCTATCATCTTCATTATCATCATCACCACCATCATCAATAATATAAGCGCTCACATCACATTACCTAAACTATCATTTATATATTAACCACCTCACCTCATCTTTCATGATACCTAGTATCTAAATATATTTACCTCTTTGATTGATTGATCGATTCGAATTTATTCCATTTCATGTCAATCTTTCCTCCTAATCTTTTGATCATTCTACATCCATTTGACAAAAATACTTAAAGATAAGTTTGAGTTCTGGGAAGAGGTGAAAAATAATTTGTGAGCGTTATCGTTCTTATTATGCAAGTGTGGAAGAACATCAGATAAGACATGTTCCCTGAAAAGCATGGCTCTTCAAATGCCTTCATATTTTAAATATGTCATGTAACATCGTAAAACTCCGGGGTAGGATTTTTACGCCACGTGTTCGTGTAGTCCCATATACATCTTTCTGTGTACAGTGTTTGTAACTTGACCAAGACTTGGCCAAATTTCTTATCATTTCGATGATTCCAGAACCTTGTAATACAAACAAATTCTTATATGCTAGATGATCAACCTTTTCTGATCGATTCCACACCGTTTCTTTCACAATGCAATCGCATGACCAGAACTCAACTTCATCTTTAAATTATATGTTATTTACCTCTCGCGGCAAGTGTAAGAAGATACATGTATAACCACCTGTTATAGCGCTTTAATTTGTTGTACCTACGTCTGTGACCTTGGCCTTTTATTTGCCATGTACATGTTTTTTCGGGGAAACGACAAGATAACCATCCTTTTTCTATCGAAATATGTCATTGTTGTACAGCACCGTGTCAGGTTTATCACTGTTAGAGATAGCAATGTAATTCTATGTGATAGCAGGGAAACGCTCCTTGTGTGAGTTCAATCCCTTTTCAGAATCATTTGTCACGATTTATTTCAGTACAGGTCGACATATTTCTGGTTCAATGATTCAATGCCCTAAATGTCACCTTTATAAAATAAAATATGCACAAGTATTAGAAGTCTATAACAATTCCCCTTCTGCCTTATTTTGTTGTCGGTACTTTTGCTATACATTAAAAATACTTAATTTCTGCTAATGAATTGAGATATTTCATGTACATGTAGTTAAAGATGATCTTCCATATTTTGAGGAACTGTATATACTTTTATCCACAGTTTTTGAGAGGCAATTAAATTGTATGAACATGCACCGAGTAAGGGATGTCACATTGTAATGTTACTATTTGGAAAGAAATACAAAGGGAAACAACATGGTAACTTATTTCTTGAACTGCTCGCAAATATTTTAACCACTAGTGTTATCGATCAATTCATGTAATATCGAATGCAGTATTACCACCCCCCAAAATAGAATGTTGTAGTCGCCGTTCCTCCATTTTTATAATGGTATTAGGCATAAATATGAGGAAGCAGACGTAAAGAAAGATAAATAAGCAACAGATTTGAAGTTTTTGTAAGCCATTTTATTTCAATAATCTTCTTATTTTTTTCTTGGAATACTTTCTTACATTTCGATGTCGTAGACATCAGATAAAAGCAAAATACATCATAATTATATACACATATATTTCTCTTTACTATCTTCTATAATTCATCTCTGTACATAGATCAAAAAGCATTTCATATATAGCAGAAATTATCTAAAAACTGCATTTGATAACGTCTTCAAGACGTTAAGGTCATAAAAATAGGACATAGTTATAAGACAAGTATAATAATTGCAATATACTTGATGACACAACAAGTTTCGTATAAATCAATATATTTGGCATCTTAAAATTAGATAGTTGCATAACCATTTTTCGAAGTGAGATACGAGGAACATAAAAAGGACAGTGGTACAATCATATGGTACAAATTAATGCATTAATTCGGATCTGTATGATAACAATTAATAGTTTAGCTACAAATAGACGATGTTATAAATGGCCATCAGTTTAAATGTCGTAGATGACAGATAAAATATCCACACATTCATTTATTTGGTAATTTTAAACTTAAGTCATCAAAAGGTAAATAAGTGATCCTCGCTCGGAGATTGTGATATTAATGTTCTTTCTCCTTATGTTTAATTAGCTGTTTAATGAACAGATTTGATAACAAAAAAGGACGAATGGAATTAAGTAAGCCCTCCAAATTAATCATATGCTTTTGGAATGGGTCTGTTCAAAATTCTCTTATTCAATATTTTTTCAGAGCTACAGCCTCTCTGCTTAACTCCATTCCTCATGAAAAGGAGATTTTTTTTTTTTTTTAAATCCATTGAGACGAGTTAAAGTTTGCATATTCAACTGGATGTTACAGTTTTAAATCTCATGTTAGAGACACAAAAATATGGATTTCATTTTAGGCCTAATCTATATAGAGCATGAATATCCCCAATGCATGGTATAATAATACATCTACATGTACTTGAATGTAACATAATGATATTCCTCTTCTCCTCCAATACAAATAACAAATTATTTTTTTGTTCATCATATTTTGGATAACTCACACACAGTCATCTTTTTATAGATATCGTCTGCTAGGTGCTAGAGGGGTGTTACCTCTAAGTCAAAGTAATTGAAAAAGGTGCCCTTCTGGCTTATATGAAACGATATGATAGAGCCTTCGGCACTGCCGACCTTGCCAGACACCAAGAGGAACATAATTATCCCTAGTAAAGCAAAGAAAATTGAAGGAAATAACTAAACATCATATTATATTGAAGGATTGGTGTCTTACCAAGTTAGAAACAAAAAAATGTTTTTGTTTTGTATCAGTTTTACTACGATAGAGAGGTGGTCGCTTATACAGGTTTGCAAGTTATATGACGGTTCAAGAAATATAGCATTTTTTTCAGCGAATATTTTGACAAAGTACATTACCATCAGAAAGATTTGATTACATAATCGTCAAACAATGAAAATGAACAACCTAACCACGGTGCTAAAATACAAATTTATATTTGTCTACTTTGTTCGATTCCCAATTTATCGCGATATTTGCGAAAAACATATGAAAATGGATTTTAACTAAACATTGTACCTGGGACTCGTTTCACAAAGCATTTGGTTCCATGAAAATGACAAAAATCAGAAACAAGGATTGCACTAGCTTATAGTTATAACAAAAACTGTCATCTGTTACTGATGACATGTTTTGGGAAATGAAACCCAGGAATAAGAACTATATCTTTATAATATATTATATAAGGGAGAATTATGAAAGAAATACAATCATTGGCATCGCATGGAGATATTTATTTCTACTAAATTGATTTTAAAAGACTGCCGACAATATTGCGATTACTTTCTCGTAGACATAATACCAGCAGCTGAGTGTCATGACACTTTGGGTCGCTCACCTTTTTCGTGAAAGTTGGATTTCTATATAAAGCTTACACAAGTGAGGAGCCTAAACTACCATTATTTTTTTTCTTCAAGAATACACATTTGATTTGGAAACACCTTCTCGAAACCGCGAAAGATTAACATACTGTTTTAGTGAGACCTACAAAAATATCACTATCATGGCATACGAAAAGAAACCCCCAAAAAAGTATAACAAAAAGGACGACAGAGGACGCTGTTCATCATAATACTTGTCTAGGTTTGAGTTTGTTTTAATCCTAAAGTAGACCTAAAAACAGAGATGTAGAGGTGCAGAATGTGCTGTTTGTGCACGATTTATTGCAAAGAGAGCCCAAAATGTAACGATTACAGATAGCCCCATATTTTCCCTTTATAATTAGCCATATGCAAGAATACATCCATTGCAAATGATATTGCGTATACAATCGATAGACAGACAAACTAGTATCAGGGAATGCACACCAGTATCCAAGCAAAAGAAAACCCTCTAAATCAATGATCTGCATGTTATCATTAACCCAAATGCCATTAGCTTTGTGATAATATATTTCTGAAAGGGTAGCCAAATTAGGAGAAAGGAATCGTAACACTTTGCAATCACTTTGTTAGTAATAATAATTAGTAAATGTTCGGTGTAATGAGTTAAGGAGAGGTTAACAGAGGGAGAGAGAGAGATATCAGAATTGTTCATATTTCATGATCACACTTTTAACAAGTTTGGTCCAATTTTGACAAAAGGTAACGTTATAAATATTTGTATATCCGCTGCTTGGTCTCGGATAAGGTATACCTCTGACAATCTACGTTCAACAGGAAGCTTTTATAGCAGTGCTCTTATAATCGTACATGGAAGAAAATAACTTTGAATGTACACTGCCGTTATCTCCTCCCGTCAAACTCGATTTCCGATTTCGACCGTCTCCTCTCCCGACAAGATCCGACAAAACCCGAGCGGTCGACTTCTTCCAGCGTCTCCAGCGAACTGAGAACGAGGGCGCTACCCCTCCTCTGATGAGTCATCTGTAGTCTCCTGGCAGCCACATTCTCACGTGCGTGGGACGACGGCGATGAAGGCGTGGACCCACCCGACGTGTTCGCGAGGTAATCCATGTTGGACGGCTGTATTTGGAGGCTAAGCCTCTGCAGGGATCGTTGTCGGTCTGAATTTGTATGTATATATATATATATATATGCATATATGCGTTTCGGGCGGGGTTTTCCAAAGAATGTTATAGTGCATGGATTTTGGATGGGGATGGAGTTCATTTTAAATATATGAATCGAAGGGATGTATTTAGATATTGAAAGGATAGATGTTTGTTATATTGGAATTTCAAAGTGATTGGATGGAGTGAAGGGGATGAAAGTGCATGAAAATGACATGGTGCTAAAAAGGAAAATGAATATAGTTATATATGAAGAAGCATTCTTGCGGGTAGATGCCGAGATTTAAAAGTATATAAGCGGTAACAGAATGAAATAGAGTTACAGAATGAGTGCAATAATCAGAAACATACAGGATACACGAAAACAAACTTGCAAATGTAGTATACACAAACAGAAAAGATAACAGGATTTTCATAGTCCCCCACGAAATCATGGGTAAGAAAAGCGAAAGAAAATGCGAAGATTACAAACAAATTATTTATTTGTTGTATGTTTTTTTAAATATACACTCAACAGACCAATAGCAGAACAAAAATAAACCACAGCTTAGCAAAGAATGAACCGACAGATATAAGCACGCAGAGAGAAGAAAGGATTTAAAGAGACAAATTTAAAAAGAATAAAAGACAGTGGGGTTTTATAGGTCGTTGTCAAAAATAATACGCATTTACATTTGCATTTATTTAATTACAATTTGTGTGTTTGTTTGCAAAAGAGGTAAATTAAAGTGACGTGCAATTTGGAACAGGAAAATTGATTCAGACGGCAGAGCAGGGTGAAGAAAAAGTGAATAAGAATTAAAAAAGAATCAAAAAGCAACAATGATTTGTTTTTATAAAAAGGTCATGATGTTCATTCGATCAATAGTCGCAATTTATGCCAATAAGATAATGAATAGAGAAGATTTGGGGAAGGATTTCTTAAATAAACCACAGTTATAAATGTTTTGAGAGCGAACAAATGTGTGACAATTGCATAGCGGTATTACAAAGCAGATAAAACCGGTAGAAGCAACCAAGACAGATACAGCAAGCAATACGTTTAATACAGTATTGCGGAAGCGGATGGATTTTTTCCGGATGAATTTGAATATTCAAGATGGCGCGTGAACAATGGAAAAATTGACCAATCATGAATGAAAAATATTTCAGTTGGGGAAAGGGTGAATAAAAGGAAAGAAATAACAATATTAATCAAGTGAGTTTATGTTGATAACTTTCAGGCAAACTCTGGATTTTGGGTACGTTTCTATATATACAATCATGCATTTTGTTGTTAGTCAATATAATGGTGTGGGGGAAACAAAAATAAATAAAAAAGAAATCATAATTAACAACGTAATAAACAAATTCAATTGAAATACAATTCGTATTGCAAATAATAGAACGGAATGGTGTAGAATCTTCGGCTTTGGATTAAATGGGTTCAACAATGAACATAGTGACAAGTGATGATTCGTGCAAATGAGAAGTGATGGTGAACCAGTCTCTAGGGAATGCGTCTATTAATTGGACCTTGTGACTAATTTGGGTTACATTTAGACACCAGACGCGATACTATCTATCAACTTAGGAGCCTTAATTAAGCTCAACTCATACTCTGAGTTTAAAAGTTTGTTCTGGCTAAAATGTAATCAGCAGCGCCGGAAAGCAAAGCTAAGCAGTACAAGGAAAAATGGTATAAGAGTTTGTCTCAAAATGACAAGACTAATTCCTGTAAAATCGCTTGGTTAATACGTAAGGCTGTCTTTGGTTAGAGAATACAAATGCACCACATTTATCCCAGGCAACTTAAATTTCCCTGTTTGCAAGTTTCATCTTTCCCTCCACCAATAAGAAGAGCAAGCAAAGAAATAAAGCCTTTGTCTTTAATACTAATTTCAGCCATTGCTATTTGCCTTTGCAGATTCGATCATTTCATTATCTAACTCAGGCATAGATTCAGAAGGGTGATCGGGAGTATCGTCGGAGAAGCGCATGCGCATGAACTTTCGTCTGACATTGTTAATGCGAAAGCTGAATCTGGATCTGCGCAGGAAGGCTAAACTCGGTGACGCGAATGCGCGCGGGACATACCCTGGAGCTATTGCGCAGGAATGGTGACGACATCAAAAACAATGGATCACCACGTGACAACATTGGACCAATGAAATGGGACATGCAACCGGTAAGTGATGACGTCACTTGACGGTGACAAAGTGAAAGGGGAGTTTATTTCACGGATGGTTTGAATGGGGAGAGGAATGGAACAAAAAGACAAAATCGGGAAACGTGTTAAAATTTTGGATCGAAAAGTAAAAGAAATCTCAGCAAATCAAACGCGTTTTGCTATAGCAGAATGTGAGACAGTAAAATTATCAATAAAAAAACTACTGTACACTCAGTAACAAAAGACAGGGGATGTCTAAATAAAAAGCTTTAAATTTAGCTTCACAAAAGGCTAGTGAGAACAGATTCTTTAAAACGAGTGCTTCGAGATAAGAAGTCGGGTACTACGTTATAAAATCTACATTGACAAGGATAGTGTGGCCTGCTACATCTAAAATGGATTTTGAGCGAACAGGTTGGAAGATTTTACGATACAATAATGGAGGAAATTGGAATATAATATAGGAAATATGAAAACATAGCATAATGATATAAAAGAATACATTGGGCCTGGAACAACGACTAAAATCAACAATACGTGTTATTATAAGACCAATACCAGGACTTTGTCTCATACTGAGTTGTTGCGATTGATTCCAGACTGATTGCAAATTGTTCGCAAACTCGCAAACTCTAATCTCTTAAGTTGCAATTGTTTATGTTGCGAGCAAGTTGAATTTACCGTAGCCTTTTATAAGACGCCAAACAGAAGGGATTGTTAGATTAAAACGAGGTTCCAAAATGATGATGTTACAATAGGTCAATCCAGCAGGTTACCATGTATTGCAAGTTATTAGCGAGACATGTGTAATGTAGCATAATAATGTTCATTCATATTGCCACCAAGTTTTGGTTGTTCCAGACCCGATGAAAATTTACAAAGATTATAATTAACACAAATCAATTTATAACTTCAATGAAATAGATGATAAAGCAAATTTGTACAACGTACTAACTAAACAAAATTTATTCCTGAGCTATTAAATTGTCTGTGGTCATGGTAATACCGTTGTCTTCTTTCTTTCTTTTCTTTTTTTGTTTTGTTTTTGGTTATGTTCTCATATTGAAATTAACAGTGAATATATCAAAAGTGGTACAAGTCGTTTCCCCAATTCAATAGATAATGATAGAAATGCAATAACTTTGATTGTCCATGTTGTGCTTTACAGTTAAAAACTTTCAAGAAAATATAGTTTGGCACGACCATTTGGAAGATCACCTTTAGAATGGTGTTTCTAAATATTATAACCATCATTAATTTGTATAAAAATTACTAGTAGGTTAAATTGTTATCCGTTAAACCCAAATAGAGCACCTCACAGAACGTGGGCGTTTAGATGTAACTGGTGGGGTGTTTTCTTTTTACAGCCGTTCATCAATCGAGTCAGTCAGTAGACCGACCTTTAACGTCACCATTTACAGGTCATGACTCAGTTTCGAACCCGGGGTCTGTTAGTGAGTTTATTGGTGAAGACAAAGAACTGATCGCACGCACCGCTAGACCAATTCACATCTCGAAAGACAAGGCACTTTTGATCAAATTCGGGAATGTATTTGTATTTTTTTTTTGTCAGTTAGGCACTACCGGCAGGTATCAAATTTATCAAGTATGATTTCGGTGTCTTTCATTTTTCGTCGGCAATCGGCCTTTTATATATCCATCCGAAAGGCGAACCACAGTCCGTATTTGAACCACTGTTAAACCCCTTCCCCTCCTGGGTTTCCACGTTATGATTACTGTAATTAAGGAAATTTTACAAGTAATATGACCACAGAACGTTTTTTCTTTTTGGTGAATTTGGTACAAAAGATATCTTTAATGATAGAAAAATTTTACCATTCTGTATCTGAAAAGGTAGATTTTCACGTAGACTTTCCTAGCCCGAACACATTGTTCACCGCTAGATTTCTTAAGGGGAAATTGCTCATGTTAATACTCCTTACTCATGCCGCTTAAAAAAAAAACCTATATTAATCTGACTTATGAGTTAGCCGTTTGTATACAAAAGTGAGAATGGGGTCCCTTCTGGACTCCGGTTAGTCCAGATTCTGTCCGTTTTTATTTATTTTTTAATCCTTAAATTATCTCCTCCCTTACACGCATCCCACAGACAGTGCGGTGTATCTAGTCATCGCGCGATCCCCTAAACTACCATCCGGGTAGAGAATGAGAGACAAGGACTGTCTCCGGTTCAACGTTGAGGGTGTATTATTTTCTCAGCTGATTGGACGCGCGACACGGATACAGTCCAGGCTTTGGACAAGACTCCGGTTCGAAACTGAGACGCGTCTTTATGATGGTGAAGAATCCTGTCGTTTCCCGAACACAAATAACCCCATCTGATTGAAAAACTTTTACCATATTTTACTAATCGCCCCCCCCCCCCTAATAATATCCCCTCTATTTGAGATCTGTCTCAGATGTTTCTGGGAGGATTTGGTTTATTTGGTTTCCAAACCCCCTTCTTCGCCCTTTTCGTCATAATGTATTAATTTACATGTAGTATCAGAGCCTGCAGAGTGATACCCCCTGCTCGTAGAATCCCTAGACTATCTTTATGCCTCAACCTCCGGGGCACATACTGACCGTATTTACGCCCTTGTGTTCCGCTGCTATTACTCCCCGGTGTTCCCTGACCATCTTCTTTGGCATTGGGGTCGCGGGCGGGAACGGCGGGGTCGTCCTCGCCCATCCGTAGGTACAACCCCTTTGAGCCGAGGAACGGACAGACGACCTTTGCGAGTATGGCCTCGAGTTGAACGTATTCTTCTGACGGTGTGGTGGCGTAAGTCCCGCCGTCGTGGACCGCGTGGAGGTTGAGCAACATCTGGGTGATCTCGGGCGGGATCTCACTCTCGTTGCACGACGATAATGCCTCTGTCAATCAAATGAATTATCATAAATAAATTAAATAGTTTATGGGATTATTCTCTCCGTGATATTTTACGCCATTATCGACTTAAACTGATATCAAGATAAAGCTTTGACAACCTTTAAGCACACTAAGTAGGGGGCATTGGTATTATCAAAGAATCTGCATTTTGAGAATTTGTTTCTAAATGTATATTATGAAGATGACTCAAACTAAGGATCACTACGTTTATGTATGGAAGTCCACGCTAAAATAGTGCTATTTTATTGTTACGAATTGCGGTGGTTATTGAAAAATCTTTGTTTTCACCGCGTGTGCTCGAGCTCGATGCAGCGTGAGTGTATGTGTTTGTAGTTTACAGCAGGGAAACGTACGTACGCAATCCAACGTACTGATCGACTCCATGCGATACGTCACAGAACGGGCCGTGCCCAAACACAATGGCAACGTTCTGAACATTCTTAGAGCCGCTATAACAGACGAAGGGTTCTGAAGAAGAGTTACGGGTACCCTTTCGTCAAATGTACGATGTTTTATATTTTTTTAGATAAGGTTTTAAATGGCCCACATACTGAAATTAACATGTAGTTTGAGGTTAATTCCCCTAGCCCTAGAGTGATGATGATGATGATGATCCACATCACTTGCAAGGCTCCATTAATCTATTTCAAACATTCAAAGAGTGATACAGGACTTACTTTTTAATGGCAGTTGTAGTACCACGTGATCACGGAATCCAAGTAATGAAAGCTGATACATCGTATGGCCTTTGGTCTGGAGAAGAGAACCCAATAGTTATATTTTACCATCAACTAACCTCAAAATTAATCATTTATATTTATAATGTTCATAGATAGAATCCCCCCCCCCCCCCCCCCCCAAAAAAAAAAAAAAAATATTAAGAAATCGTTAGCCCACCCTTAGCAGGTGCATAAGGTTCATATTTTATTGCCAATAAAAAAAAATGGAAATTTGTGGTATTTACTTGGTATATATGCTTACAAAAATAAACATATTTCTTCATACAAAAAGGCAATTCAATCAAATAAAAAGAAGAAAAGTGGAAGAGTAAAATGGTGACATGAAATTGCTTTCAACACTGTTTCTCTAAAGGCATAGCATGAAGACCAGTGCTCCCTACTAGTTTGAGAACCAATATTGTGCCGGGAAAAAATCCCTCATCGGGCCCTAGTTACAGGCCTTAGTATTTGCTTTACCTGGACTGGGTAGAATATCGCCCTCAACGTTGGCAGTATCTCCGTGAAGAAGTAGTTCCAAAGCTCGGCTAGACTGGAAAGTAAGCCTTGACCTATAGTGAACAGTGCAGGGGATTCATCACAAAAACATGAGTCAATTGCACAATTTCGACGAATTAATGATAAGCAAGCATTTCTTTAATACATCTAAAGCGTCTGCATAAATAATTATTATACATTTCTTCTCTCTACAAATGAGATTTCATATTAAATTGAATCTGTTTATATATCTCTTAAATTTCGGTTTAAAAAAAATGTAAAGGTCAAACATCGTTTTCTTTTGTACAAGCAATATCTGAAGGAGTTATTTCATCTGAGATATTTAACAATAGTAAATAGTTTCAGGTATTGCGGGTAACTGTGTTATTCGAGGTGAGGAGAGGGAAATGAACTTACTGAGCATTGTGGGTCTAAATGAGCTAACAGCAATAATTAGGACACTTCACTCATTGGATAACATCTTTAAACAACAAAGTGGGTAAAAAACACTTTTCCGTGACAAATATATCTATTTTATTTTTTTCAATTAGGCTACAAGGTTATCAGCATAAGATATGATTATGTTCTTCTTCGACGATCTTACCTCCATCGTTATCGAGTGAGTCATAAAGACTTTTCATTCCTCGTTGTAACAGATTTTTCTGTGGAAGAAAAAATATTAAAACATAATCACATTCATGGTATAAAGATCAAGCTTCAAATGTATTCAAATGTAAGTCGGTCTGAAATAAATAAATCAAACAAAACAAGTATAATCAGTGATTTTTTTCGCTCCGTTACAATATTCTTGGGGGGGGGGGTATTGTATTGGCGAGGAGAACACGTTTCCAATATGACTCGTAAATCATGTAAATGTCACCAGTTCGCAATTAGCCCTCAAAGCATTTATCACGGATTTGGTGGCATTTGAAGAAAAAAAACAATACACGCCAACGATCCCAGACTGGAGATTAAATTAATGATTTTCAATGAAATAAATAATGTTCATCTGAATCTAGTTCAAAAAGTTTTTTCCACACAATTGTTTACAGTTTATTGACATTTATATGTAGATGTTTTTTTTAACAGACTGGTGTGCGAATCGGTTTCCATTCCGATGAATAAATATATTCCATCACTATAGTCTTTATCTTTATTTTGATAATATTTCATATTCATCTATGAAATGTTATTGCGTTCTACTGATCACCTAGTAATACAAAATTCAACGCGATTATACATACATTATGCTAACTTAATGTGGTTAACCTTACCTTATAATATTCCGATATAAATGACCCGATTTCAGATTTGATTGCAACTCTGCGAAGAAAATAATACAAGTATATACACAGACGTTATACAAAGTTTAAATCTTGATTCATTATATATAATAAAACAGTAACATTTTATTTTAATTGTGTTGCTTTTAAAGATGGAACATTAGTATCGATTATATCCGTGGACCTAGATTAAATATAATGCTTTCATTCTAACTATTTCTTTCAATGATGCCATACTAATCCAGCGTTTACATGGACCACAAGAAATGCCATGATAATTTTTGCAGGAATTACTGTAACTATGTATAAACCAAATAAATCAAGAAAATTAATTTTGTCCTAAAGTGAAAATAAAAATGTAAGCTTCGTTTAGATAGGATGTTTGTTTTTTTATAGTAAAAACATTATAATGATTTGTGCAAGTTAAAGAGAAGTGGGCACTCTATGATTTGGTGGCCTACTAAATTTGGCTTAAACCTGGACCCAGATCAGGCAGCTTTCCTTTCGAGAATACGGTTCGAAATTATATATATTTTATACGAATTCTTACTTGACCAATTTGTTCAGTTCGTATAGTTCACCGGGTTGTAATCTTCTTTTGTTGAATACTGATAATACTTTGCTCTGGACTCTGTTTAAAAGAAAGAAAAAAGAGAAAAGGAACAATTAAATGATTGATCACTGTGGTAAACAGTTTTGAGAAAAAGACTTCAAAAGGTCAAGAAAGACTCATCCACATACTTTGTACTTAGTCAATGTAAAATAAGGATTTAGTTATTAGTTTAACAATGTTTAAGTGCTCTTATTCTCTTTTTACAAACATGAGAAGACAAATATAAGACACCTATTGAGAAAAGACAAATTTGGGACAAGGAAATGTCTGATTTAACTAGCTATATTAAGAAAACATTGATGCCATTACACACTTGAACAAAATTTCATGAAATGAATTGCGTCGTATTAAAGACATCTTTTATTTTTAAACACTGTCCTATCTTAAAAAGGAAAACCCAACCTTCATAGTTAGCAACTCTAAAAGAAAAAGAAAAAATAGAGAAGCAGACAGGTGAAATGTTAAAGAAATCTGGCTAGAAATAAGGATTTTGGAAAGTTGTAATCACTACGTACATGTATGTGAACCCCTAATTGGCTGAATATGTAATGTCACTGTGATGTTATGCCAGACAACTTTCCCATTCGTTTAAACATACAAAATGACTCAAATGCTAACAAAGATTCGACATATTTCAAACTTTCGCCATTTTGTTTATTTATTTATTATTATTTTATTTTTGTTTGTTTATGCTTTCATTCAAATGAACTTATGACGAGGGTTGCTTTACCCTTTAAAGTTTACCTTTTTGTTTCACATTGTCGCTACTGGATGCCAGTAATCGCATGAAAATTGCCTGGAATTACAAGCATGCTGTTTACAACAAAATGTCGTTGCATTTGGAGTGATCAAATTTAAAGGATTTATTGTTGCTGCGTTTTGTTTGGTTTCATAAAACAGAAACTAAACTCAGTATTGCATTTCACAACAAAATGGGAGTTAGTTGTCATTCCATTCATTGCCAGTCGGGCTTACATAAGTGCACGTACACAGCATGTTCACTAGCAGTTAACAAAATTAAACCAGGGGGTGTTTCACAAAGATCCTTAGTTGAACTTATCTCTAAGTTGGACTTAAAAATATGGAAAGCCATTAGCATCTTTGAAAATATTTTGTTAAAGTTATTTTGAAAGACATTCATTGTTTATTGAAATCATTCATATTTTCTATCATCAAGGAGATTTCATGTTCTGGATGTGGAATTAATAAAAAGTCTAAAATACTTGAATTTCTGCTTTTGAATATATTTCATTTAAAGACTCCAATGGCTGTCCATAATTTTTAAGTCCAACTTAGAGTTAAGTTCAACTTAGGATCTTTGTGAAACACCCCCTGGTCTTTAAATTCAAAGCTGTTTGCACCAAAAATCAATAAGCTCAATTGGAAATGTCACTTTCCTCTCTCAAGGCGAACTCATACCAAATTGTCTAGACTAATTACGAAGTATTATTAAAAGAATGTTAACATAAAATGCAAACCTATTTTGCTTCGGAGAGACATCCCAATTAAAACTAATTAATGAATGTAATGAAACTTAAAACTCATTAGGTATAGCAAAGTAATTGGCAATGCATTTACCAATAGCAATTCATTGATGGTACGAAATAAATTGGCAATTTTATCTACAAATTCAATTAGTTTTAGTGGTACCTGGCATTATTTGTTCACGAATATATGATATTTATAAGAGTTATAGTCTTCAATTCAATTCAATTCAATTCAAGGTTTATTAAAAAATATCTTCGCAGCCGTAAAAGGCTGAATTGCGATACAATTCACAAATAAAGAACATGCAAAATTACCAAAATATACGTATCAATTACAATGAACATAGTTTGACATAATTAGAAATCAAATATAAAATATATAAACAGAAGACCTAAGAGTTCAAAAGTGAGTTTTAGAAAAAAAATGGTTGTTCAAATTACATCCGGAGTTTAGCGATTATTTACATTTTAAACCCACTGTAGACATCTAAAGACAAGATGAGAAATTGCCAAAGATTATATTTCAAATTAAAAATTCAACTGTGGAATGAGAAAAGATAAGTTTTTTCATTAAAAGTAAATCATCGATTTACAATATTCACAGCTGATATAAGGAAAGTATATTTTGGATGTTGATTATAGACAACATTACATAATGCTTGCGAATATTATGGGATTAAAAATTATCATATACATTGGACTTGGTCATAAACCTATCACTATTCGCATAGTACGACACATGAGCTTGATGAGAATATACATAAAACATGCAATCATGTCCAATATTATGAACACATAAAATAACATCGGGAATAATTCATGGGATAATAGATTGTCTTTCCGGTTACTTGAAAATTGGTAAAGGGTACTAGGCGATGCATTCATTTGACGGTAGCTTCATAATCAAGGGTAGACTCAAATTAATCAGTCGGGCACATATTCTCCTCCCCATTAAAGATTAGCAAATGTAATTATAAATATTTCCTTGCCGTTTTTTTTAAATATTGATTTGAATCATTTTACAAGATTTTAAATCCATTTTATTAAAATGTGCACAATTTTTCAATTAAAACGATTGTGATAGAACATATAGATGAAGGTTTCCATCCTTTCTTTATTAAGATTTTCATCCTTTTGGACAAAGACTTTCGATATTCTAACAAATATTGCATCAATTTCAGATAGACTTTAAAGGTATTTAGTAGGCTGTTTGAATGCTTTTCATCTAGTTGCGTTACTGAACAAATTGTGTTTCCGGCTTTGACCATTTCCCCATATTAACTGACCTTTTTCTTTCGAGCAACGCCCCTGTTTTCATTTTTTTAATAAATATATCTCTTTCTTAATCACATGCATTTCGTATCTTCTTTAACCTTTGCAACATCAGTTGCTAGGTGGCAACTAAGGCAGGTATCTCTAAGGAACCATCCAGAATCTGCGGGAAGGCATCCATTAACTATTCTTATTTCCTATCCGACTTTGCGTTAGTTGTCACAAATCCTCAATAGTCATTTTCTAGTCATGACTTGTTAAAGTCTCGATAGGAGCTATCAATTTTTGTCTATGCAACATGATTGTGGCTAATTTCTTGCATAATTTAAACAATTATTTAAATGCGAGTGTCTTTCACTAGTTGAAGATGATTTATCTTTCCTCTTCCGCGACGACCCCTCCCCTCCCCCACTCCTCCCCCTCTCTCTCTCTCTCTCTCTTTCTCTCTCTGTCTTTCTCTCCGTGGCTCTTATATCCTATTTATTCGTTTATGTATTTATGTTTTCTTCCCTCTCATTCTATCTCTCTATCGCACTTTCATGTACTAACTCCCTATTTGTATAATCACCACTCTCTAAATTTATCATTATATTGTCTCTCTCTTTCTCTCTTTCTCTCTCTCTTTCTCCCCCCCCCTCTCTCTCTCTCTCTCTCTCTCTCTCTCCTCTCTCTCTCTCGCTCTCCTTCTCCCTCTCTCCCTTCTGTATATTTCATCACCATATATTTCATAAAGTAGCACACCTCTCTCCTCCTACCCTCACCTCCTCCTTCCACTCATCCCCTCACCATGTTCACCTAATATATTATACCGACCGTACACACGTCCATATACATCAGGTATCTTGCGGCTGTGATGCTGTGACACGGCTTGGTTCTCTCGCTGAATTGTGCATAATTCATGCTTGGAGAACTTCCCTCTTCACCATCATCCGTCGACAGCTTACACGAGCCCGCGTCACCGGGGAAATGTCGCCTATATGCCATCGATATTACACTTCACAATGTTTACAGTCAAGTCAAAGTAGCTGAATACAATCTCTAGCCTCGATCTATTTTATCATGGCCATCGTTTAAGCAGAAGCATTGATTTGTATAGGTTTCCCCGATGCATTCATATATTTGATCCGATTGTACGAAATATATTCCGGCGACAATTGCTCAATATGGCAAATACGGGGGCAATGTTTAACACCATCTAAAACTTAAAGCCCGTTACTATACAAACCTACCTTACCCCAAACCTAACCCCAAACTTATCAATTTTTAATATTCTCTTTCACCTTTACGTTCTATAATATTCTTACATTATGCAAATGCAGTGCATGAATTTAAGATGCTTGACAAAAACGCATAGCCCATTCATTTCAACTTAAATTACAGTTTTTGATAACGAATCCTTTTCCACTTGTTAAAGGGCTGTCTCCTTAGGCCTTTCTTCGTACTTCCCTCTTTGATTTTCTCAACAACATTCTATTGCCTTCGTTTTTCACTTCTTCTCACATAGCTAACATGAATGGGTACATTCTAAGTGAGGACAACCGACTTGGTATATTGGTCTCGCAATAGCGGGTATTGCCTGTACCTCTTAAGCTAAAAGCATGGATAAGACAACCAGGTTAGACAGCTAATGGCTGCCTGAGGTAATGCCAATATCTTATCATGTTCTCAGTGGTAAACATACACATCAGACACCTAGAATTACGAGGAAAGTAAACCAAAACATCACCGTCTCTAAAAACAAGTATATTGTGATAATTCATAATTTAAATGCAGTGCCGCGCTCAAACTAAAACAAATATTGCATGATTCAGCCTTCAATATAAGAAATTATATCCCTCATGTATAGTTGTTTGCATTGCGATTGTACAGAGCACGAAAAGGGTATAGATAAGTACTATCTACCTGAGATAGGTCTTTTTGTAAAGTAATTTTTTGCTGCTGCCCCACTTGCGCGACTTGCGCATTGAATAAGCATAGCAAAGTAGGTTACGCGAAATGTCAAAGTCAATGTCAATGTCAAATGAGCGCGCATCGACTGTATTACATGTATGCATGTTGTGCTTTGTAAAATCTAGCTGAAGCTAAACTGTCTGCAAAATCAGTTGTTTTAATTATGTAAAATTCACTTTAAATATACCTAATTGCCGATGTGGGATATAAAACAAATATTAACCTCCTTTACTCGGGCAATGGATACAAACTATCATCGCCTCGGTGATCTCGGCGATGACAGTTTGCACCATTACCCTCGTAGTCGATTAATATTTGCTTAATATGAACGGGCAAATTCTGAATTTGGAGGCGAATAAGTTATATTGAACAAAGAAAGTGCAATATTTGTTATATGAAATTGAGTGTAATATCTCTGTTGTAGTCCGACCCTCTTGATCACACCCGGGTTGCCTACCCGCAGTCTAATTCACTTGTATACGTTTCGTTGTCGTCGTTGTTGTTGTTTTTGTTGAGATTTAGTTGGCACAAACTATTGAGTATCACGTGACATCTATTTACCCACTCGGATACACGTTAACATATTTATATGACACTTTTACTTTACCCTGGCCTTTGAAACTTAATTAAGTTATAGAGGACATAAAATTATGTAAATGTAAGCTTAATTAAGAAATGCATAGAACTCTAGTTTTACAATGATCTTTAGAGGAAAAATAAGAGGACATGTATATTTATCAGGTATAAGGGATTTGTATTTTGTTGACAGATCTATATCTAGGTTAAGAAGAGTTAAATAACACCTTCAAGGGGAAGATAGTACACGGAGTATGTCCCTTGATCGTTCGCAATCTATTGCGGAATTCTTATCTTCCTTTCTATTCGACCGACCCCCTTCCTCTCCTACTCTCTCTCTCTCTCTCTCTCTCTAGCAATCAATCGATCTTAATTTGTCTCTCTTTATATTTATACCAATCTTTATTTCCATCATTCTCTATCTCGCTTTGAGACTCTCCCTCCCCCCACTCTCTCTGTCTCTCTCACTCTCCTTTTATCTCTCTCTCTCTCTCCCTCTATTTCTCCCTCTCTATCCCCTCCCCTCCCTCCCTTTGTTACTCTCTCTCTCTCTCTCTCTCTCTCTCTCTCTCTCTTTTCCTCGCTCGCTTCATCTGCCATGGCGTGGATGCATGACAGATGATTTATTTTGAATTAAAATAAGCTTTTAGACAAAATGTAGAGTTGACCTGCTTGTATATCCATCCAACAAGAACGCCGAAGTCCCTCACGCTTTACTTGACAAGAAAAAAGGAAGATTATCATCAACTCTCAACGTTTCATCTATGATAACACTATTGTAGACCATCTGCAGAAGATTGTGGTTTCAGGAGAAAAGATAGAGTGCTTTCGCCCACCCTTTTTTCCAGCACCCGCAAAATTCTTTCCTTTCTTTATTTTAAATATTAAACCGTTCGCTTTCTTATCATGCCAATTTCTATTTTGCTTTTTTATGACAGGTTATAGATCTATATTTCGTAAGTATATTTCTTTTTTAATAAAGATGTGTCCATTATCCATCTTAAAAATGTCAAGGCTACCATGGTTATTGGAATTACTGTAACTGTTACGAAGCCATCATGACTTCTTGTAAATTCAATGATGTTATTAATACAGTCATCCGTATAGGCTACCAACTAAACTTATTTTGATATGAGCCTTTTACCACCCCCCCCCCCCCCATTTCTTCCCGCCTATATCAAAATCAGTTCAGTTGGTAGCCTATACGTATGATTGCATTAAAGTCTCTCTCTCTCTCTCTCTCTCTCTCTCCCTCCCTCTCCCTCTCTCTCTCACTCTCTCTCTCTATGTTTCTCTGTCTGTCTGTCTCTCTTTCTTCTTTTTTTCTTCTTCTTCTCCTTTTTTTTATTCTTCTTTTTTCTACTTTTTTTCTCTATCCCGTCTTTTTGCTCATACCGCTTCTCTTCTCTATGTACGTATATACACTTCTCTCACAAACTAATTGTCTCTCTCTATCTCTCTCTATATATATATTCCTCTCTTTTTTGTCTCACTCTCTTTCTTTCTTCCTCTCTCTATCTCACTCGTCGCTGCAATATCCATTAGGGAAAGCACGCATCTCATCAGTCTTTATGCATCAGAAATTGGAGCAGCGTTTAACACTGGCCACTGACTTCTCACAAATCTCTTTATCTGGAGCATATCTAAACAGAGCGAGACTTGAAGCTTCATATCTCCCTCGATTGGAATTACCCAAGATGAAACAGGATACAATATGGTATAGCCTGGTAATAGACCAACTAGATTGTCTTCTGACACAGTTTTCTCAAGAGCCTAGTCTCTTCTCAGTCGTTTTTTCCTATTTTCTTAAGTTTGCAGTCGTTATAATTATAACAAATCAACAATATATACGTGCAAAACGGCTGGTTATTTTCTTTCAACAATTTTAATCCGTTTGTAAAGGTGCTTATTAACGGTAATGAAATGATAATTCAGGGGTAAATAATTATCAGTGATGGACCTTAATCAGAAAGTATTGGACTTTTCTCAAGCCTGCTACATGTATATACCATATAAATACAGCGATATGTCAATGCCATGCGTGTACAGAGCGTCGACACCGCCGTAAATATGTTTGGACTTATTATAAAATCGTCAACGTCAACCTTTACAGCTGCAACACCTTCTCTTTGGAATATTTTACCATTGAATTTGCGAATCATAACTTCCTTAGAGACTTTTAAATCCAAGCTGAAATCTTTTTTTTTTAAACAATACCTTTACTTGGCACTAACCGGCAGTGATACCCCCCCCCCCTCCCCGTCTCATCATAACCACCAGCCCTCCTCTTGCTCTGTTCAAGCTCAAATAATATACAGCATGTCACAAATTCTGCCTGATGAATTCATATGTTTGACAGCACAATGTGTTTACGCTTGCTACTCCATCAGTTTGAGATTTATTATCAGTACGATGGATGTGTATTATCATGTGGAGTAGCACGCAATCGTATCACCAGTAAACGCGATCGAGAGAAGATGCAACACATATGTTATATTGGAAATGTATTCCGAAATGTTAGACTGTATGTTTGAAAAGATGATATGGAAACCAATGCAAAGATTACTGTTCAAACATTTTGAAATATATTTGACAATATAATTTATATACATTATATACAGCATATTTTAATATGTCACATTTGAAATATATTTCAATTATTTCAAAACATTAAGCCAAATCTGAAGTACTTTTAACGCATTTGGCATTATGAAACGTTTATAGTGATATGCAATTTGTCGTGAAATGTATTATTTTGAATAAATTTTAAAATGTAGTATTTGAAATGTATTTTGAAATGTTAAATTTGAAGGGAAAAAAAGTATTTTGAAAAGTCAAATTTGAAATTTGTTTTGAAATGTGACATTTGAAGTACCTTTTAAAACGTTACATTTAGGCATTTGAAATGTTACAGATTATAACGGTACATTGATATAGCGCTTAACGTGATAACAGTGCGCATCGCAACGTTAATATCCTTTGAGATTAATTTTGCAAAAATCAGTGTCAGAGTGACTCATTTAAGATTCAGATTTTTGGTCATATCAGTTGTTTCAAAGAGAATACATGCACGGTGCAGAGCAATCCTCCCGATACCAAGATCAAACGGACATAAAAGCCTTCAAGGTCTAATCGAAAAGAATCCTTTCGAGATTTCCTAGCATGACCTAGAAAGCTTAAATTTCCAATCAATTCCCTCTATCGGCCTTCAAAAGACAGAGCATTTTGAGTTTTGTAATTGTATTACGCACAAGGCGGGCATATACTCGTTCCTTTAAAAGTAAAATAAAATCGCCCGCGGCTTCGCTTTCAATAAAATAGTGAATCTGTGTCGGCGCATATAAGAGGGACCGTTACAATGCCAAACGCACAAACATTGAACGCTTGTTTGATGGAGGCTTTAAACACGGCAATGACCTTCATAAAAATGCATTCATTGCAGTGACATGTGCATTGTA